CTTAAACAGGCGTCTAAGGTAGGCTTCCACTACATTGCCTTACTGATGAGTCCAGTAGTGGAAGCCGGGACGAAACGCCAAAAATTACGTGATATTCTTCGCAATATATAATATTAGAATAAATTATCAAAATTAGATTTCATATTGTAATTTGACTCTTATTCGCCTTATTTAACGTGTGAATTATTAAAAAAAGTAAAATTTCAAAAAAAAAAGAAGAATATCAAAATAGTGAAGAAATTAAAAATTGTGAATTTTATTTTTTTCAGGGATACAATATGAAAAGAGGCAAAATTTTACTGTTTTTGTTTTGGTTCCATGGATCTCGAGTTTAAATTGCATACCTATGAAAAATATCTGTGTGAAGTTGGCACCTCATTTTAAAGAAAATGAAATTTTTCGATATAGTTCCGAATGCACCCTGAAAAGTTCTAGAGTAAATGAAAAATTCATCGCAGGGAGTTACGGAAAGGTATTGATGAAACATATTCAAATACTAACATATCTTGACATTTTTCTTATGAATAAGGCTACTTTTTTTGGTAAATTATCTTTCTTGTGCAATCATGTGGACGAAGTAGCCAAAAATATTATACAAATAGTTTTCATTTAAATTTTTGTTAACCCTGTCCTTAAGCTAATTAGAAAGAGGTTTGTTTCTTTGCGTTGCACTATGAACACAGTGCAATAAGTTGAAGCGAGTCGGACGTACATTTGTTTCCCTTCAATTTATTGTACTGTGTGCATCAGTATAGACAGTGCAGCGAAAAAGAACAAATCTAAAGCCTATCGCACATGGAATGCAAACAGTACATAAACATAAGACCGCTGGACCAATGAGCATCTTATGTTAATCAATATGGCAACTTTATGCTGAATGCTTATTGGTTCAACAGTTTTATGCTCATGTTCTATTATGCATTTCATATGCGATAGGCTTAATAGGTGCATCCAGAAACACGACCGCTCACTGAGCGCTCAGTGAGCTCTTGTATCTGTTTAGTTTATATTTTTAGATCTAATGGAATATGCCAATCAAATAAAAAAGCTCACTGAGCGGTCATGCTTCTGGATGAACCCAATGGTCGCGTTCAGCAGACTCAACTGTTGCGGAGCGGATCCGTGAACGCTCACTGCTATTGGATGATCTAAAAGAATATACCAATAGTAGCGAGCGCTCACGGATCCGCTCCGCAACAATTGAGTCTGCTGAACGTGACCAATGATATACTCGTACACAACTTCAATTGCGTAGTTCAAGAATAATTTTTTAAATAGTTTCCAAAAAGTTCTACGTATACCTTATGTAAAATATATATTTTTAACATACAAGTATTACAACTTACGGTACTTGCTGCAGTACGTCGTCAAGAAATTGCAATTGGTTGAACCAAGTAAACGAGAATTTCGTATTTTTCAATTCGTCAGCTGCTGCAGCTGCTGATCCACTTGGGATATACTGTCTTTTCTTACGCCTTGCCTTCACATAGCTGTCTCTCAATTGCGTCCATCTTTTACGGACTCTATCACAGTCATCGTCCCCTATGTTTAGTACAAAAGTACAATAAATATTACATTTTGCATATGTGATTGATAATTTAAATCAAGAGATCTCCCGGTCTATAGATTCGTCAAGTTCATAACTTTCCATCCTCAAAACGACCTCCAATGCGTTAATACCATACAATTCGAATACGTTATTATGT